AGGGGATCAGATACTGTGGGGGGGAGGACCGGGAGCCGGTCACAGGGGATCAGATACTGTGGGGGAGGGGGGAGGACCGGGAGTCGGTCACAGGGGATCAGATACTGTGGGGGGGGGGGGGAACGGGCGGGCCCAAAAGGCCATTCTGCCGGGTCCGGGGGGGGCCCCTCCCCATTCCCCCCTCCATTGCCCCCCCCAGAATCCTCCGCTCCCCTTCTTCCACGCCCCTCCTGGGGGCCCGACTCAGCGCAATCCCCCCCCACCCCCGCCTCGGCTGGGCCTTCTCCAGCCTCCTCTCGCCCACGGGTCTCTGAGTCTGCCCTGGGCTCCCCATAACGACCAGTTTACAGCAGGCTCTGTGGGGCCTCTGCGGGAAAGAAAGGCTGTTCTCCAGTCCCCTCCTAGCAGCTGGTTCCTGGCATCCAGGGCACCCCACCCCCACCCCCACCCCCAAGCTCTGCTGCTTAAAGCTGACTTCCATCTATGGTTCTCCATTGCAAAGTCCTTTAGATCCAAGCTTCTATTGGAGCTCACAGCAACTGCCTGAGGGCATTTCCCCTCCTCCCACCCCCATACACCTGTTTGGTTCAATCCCCAGGACTCCATCATCACTTCCGACGGCCCTGGGCCCACTGCCCACCCTGCCCTTCCTTCGGTCTCTGCTCAGCGGCCAACAGAGCACCCAGGGCTTCTGCCTGTCTCCCTCCTCAATGCCCCTCACGGTGGGGCTTTCCTTCTTTGCAGTCCCGTCTCAGCTCCTAGCACAAGAGCCTGACTCAGACTCTCTGTGCCTTCTCAGGGCGCGGTGCAGCACTCCAGACCCTGGAGGGGACGCTGAGGATCATCCCTGACCCAAAGGTCCGAATGTGGGTTAGGCCCCTTCTTACAGAAGTCAGGATGAGTAAATGTCAGTTGGAAAAACGATCCCAGCCCTATCCCCTCACCCTCCACCCTGAGTCCCAGAGATCTGGGCCCCTAGCTTCTCCCCTTCCCAACCTTCTCTCACCTCCCCAGCCAGCAGCGGGAAGCCGCCAATGAGTTTGTGCAGCGCCCCGATCTCCTTGGAGGGCCCCGTGATGAGGGAAGTGCCCGTGTCCAGAATAGCAGCACAGCCGTCAGGACACAGAATCAGGGAGTGGCCCACAGTCACACTGGGGAGAAAGATAGGGCATGAGCTCCTTACCCTGACACCTGCCCCTCCCGCGCCACCCCTCACTGACTGACCCAGGCACCTGTCCCTCCAGCTCCTCCCCCCGCCACTGACCTAGGCATCCTTCCTTAGAGACTCCGAGGGAGTCAAGTACACAGGCAATCGGGTCCCAGCCCTTCGGCGCTGTTCAGGCCCCCTCCCCCTCCAGCCTCGTCCCCCTTAAAGAGCTAGGCATTTAAGCCCCTCACCGGTCCACATGGATCTGCCAGTAGGCTGGCCGGGTGACGGGCAGGAAGATGAGGGGGGGGATATAGAGAGATGGATCTGAGCCTCCTAGAATCACTTCTCCACCCGGGACTGCTTCAGGGTCCCTGCGTGGCAAGAACGGAGTTTCTAGAGCCCGAGGGACCTGAAAGATCCCTCAGTCCCTCCCCCTCATTCACAGAGGGGGATCTGAAGGTGAAAGTAACCAGCCTTTGCTGACCCAGCTAATTAATCTGGGAATCAGTATTTGAACCCAGCTCTCCTGCCTCTCAACCATGGCTCTGTGCCAGGTTGGGGGAGGATCACCAGGTCCCCAGGGGCAGGGGCAGGGTAGAGGCTCAGGAAGGGACGGCAGGATTTCCAGGGTTTCCCAGTAAGGGGGTTGAACTGCCTCTGTCTATGAGGACCCTGACAACATGGGATGAAGAACCGGGAAGGACCTTGGGAAACATCTCATCCAGCCCCACTTTATAGAACAAATGGGGACTCAGAAAGGGGAGGGGGTTATTTACCCGGCGAGGCGGGCTCTCCTGAGAGGAGAGCATGGGGAGGGGATGCGTGAGGCTTCCCACCCGGGAGGGGAAGGTGGGGGGAGGGGATGGGTGGGGGCGGGGCTGGGCTTCCCATCCCAGGCCTGCACCTGTTGAGGTAGAAGGAGAAGACGGGCTGGTCCAGCAGCCCCAGGGCCATCAGCGTGTCCAACGGAGGCTGCACTCCGGCCACGGCCAGAGTTGGGAAGCCCAAGCCGAGGATTCCGTCGAAGTGGGCCAGCGCAAAGGCCAGGCTTGGCTCCCATAAGGCCTCCCCAAAAACCAGAGGGGCCCCCCCAACGCCTCCAATCTGGGGGGACAGGAGGGGGCACGCTGCAAACCCAAGGGTCACATAGGAAGTCCCTCCCCTTGAAAACAGTCAGAAGCCGGTTCCCTCCAGGCAGCGCACCTGCCTCCCTAAGCATTCATTTCCCGAGGCACCGACCCGAGGTTTTGTGCCTGCTGTCATGCAAGCCTCGCCTCAGCCCTAAAAGGGAGGTTCTATAGTAGATATCCGCATTTTATAAATGAGGAGCCTGAGGCAGAGGCCAAGGCCTTGTAGCTAGTGAAGACATTCAGGGTCTGAACCCAGCCCCAAAGCCAATAAGTGATGGTTGACTTGACTCACAGTCAGCACGTCCTCACTCAAAATGCCATCTAGTCGCCCCGCCCCGTAGCGGATGGAAAATTGGGTCCCATTAGGTCGGAAGGAGCTGGAAGCCTTGGGGTCATATCGATGATGGAACCCTGGGCCATGAAGGGATGTGAGGGTGATAAGGGGAGCTGCTGTGACGTCCCTCACCCCATTCCCTTGGCCCTGGCCCTGGCATTCGGCTCCCAGAGCCAGAAGGGCCGGCCCAGCCCGGCCCTCCCAACTGACGGAGGAGGAAACTGCGGCTTGACCGGGAACATTCGTCGACAGTCAAAGAAGATCATGGAGGGGATGATGGCTTCCCTGAAGGACAGACCGTCCCCAGAAAGAGGCAGCAGACCTATCCTGCTGGGCCCCAGAGAGCAGACACTGGGAAGGAGTGCCCACCATGGAATGCCAATCATCCTCATCCAGGGGGAAAGGCTTCCCATCCGGGCTCAGGTTGGAATCGATGACCTCTACCATCTTTTCCTGGCTGGAGAAGCCATGATTTAGGGAGACTGAGGCCCAGAGAGGAGAAGTCACCAGCAGTCTTGGGGTCTACATCCCTGATCTGACAGGCCCAGGCCCAGGAAGGGGACTTTTCCAAGGTCACACAGCACACACCCTTATTTGACTGAGGAGACAAGGGAAGGGAAGGGACTCTGCCTGCCGCGCAGCACGGGGCATGGCCAGGCTTTTTTCTCCTACGGAGACGTCCCACACCCCGCTTCCCCTCACCCTCCCACTTCCCGCCTTCTCACAGCAGCCCAGGCTGAAGAAGTTACAGCGGCGAGACGGGACCCAGAGGTTGGAGGAGCCGGTGTCAAAGATGACAGAGAAGTTCTGGGGGGGTGTCCCCAGTCCTATCTCCCCGTAATACTGAGCCTGCTTGGAGAGAGAGAGAGAGAGAGAGAGAGAGAGAGAGAGAGAGAGAGAGAGAGA